GTCTCAACGGGCATTTGGTGGAGCCAGGATTCTTGCCATACATATCAAAAGATAGAGCCTTTATTCTAGGGAACGTGGCACCTTTCTTTGTGGTCACTAAAGTCTCAGGGCAACATGAGGCTTCACTCAGGGCCTTTCCTGAGATTTTAGGAGATTGTGACATAACAGCTCTTTGCTTGGCTCTTAGAACTTCATTGTTACTTTGAAAACAGTTTTTAAGACTTGAGTTCTGATTCATTCAATAAATTTTTTTATTGGGAATTACCACAGACGTACCAAAAAAAGGTGTGTAATTCATTCTTTTCATACCTTTCTGCAGCTGCAGATAGAATTGCTCTCATCTGTGTATTCTTCACTGAACTTCTCTGCTCAAGCATGGGATGCCTCTTTTATGGGTTTCATGGCTGGCTGGCAGACTTTTGGAGGTAGGAGAGGCTGCTTAAAGTCGGTGTGGATTCATAGTCCATGGAAACAGGGCCTCATGACTGCGTTCATGACTGCAGGAGAGATCACACACTTTTCTCTGTTAATTCCCCAGACTTGGTGTCCTGGAGTTTGAGTCTAGTGGAGGAAAATAAGGCACGGAGTATCGTACTTCTGTCCCTGTTGATCATTAGGACTGAGGGCCTGGCATGCTCGACTGCAAGGGGCCAGTGACTCAGCCAGGCCTGTGACCTGACGTTAGGGATGCGGGGCAGTCTCTTCCTGCCAGTTTCCTTTCTATAAAACTTAAGTTAAACAAAGAAGTGCTCATAATTATTACAACGGGTGTGATTGGTTGGCAAGGAGAAATCTGCCTGATGGCTTTTAGTCTATGGGTTTATAGAAATGAAAAAAAAAATTAACTCAAAATCTGAATTACTATAGTATTGGCATCCTCATTTAATGTCTTAATCTTTTAAAGACTAGAGCATTTCTGTATGTTAGGACAAATGCAGAGTCATAGCCAAGAGAGCTTGTTTAGAGAGTTTCTGCTTTCCGTGAGTGGATGGATTCTGTTCTGTGTGAGGGTAGATCCTGCCCTATCACCAGTTAGTGAATATGCAGACCTAACCAGGTGGGAGAGGTGTTCAGGCCAGAGTGTGATTTCTAAGGACCAGTGCTGATGGTAAGGTAATGAGAAAGTGAGGGTAAAGAAGATACCTGCAAAACTAAGCACAAGGTGAGGTGAAGCCAGAGAACTTTGAGAACTTTTCAGCTGGAGATAAGGGAGGACTCAGGAGGGCTAGATGGTTACCAGAGAAGATCAGGAAGCAGGCTGAAGCTGGAAGAAACCGATGATCTCAAACATACCTGACTCTAGGGTCATCCTAAATCTCTATCACTTCAGTTTAAGTATCTTCATCCAACATCCTATTTCATCTCATACCAAATATGCCTGTGCCTGCCATTCTTCATTTGCTCTAACTTCTTTCAGTTTCTCCAACTTGCCAAGCCCATTCCTATCTTAGGGCCTTTGCACATGCTACTCTGTCTACCTAGAATGCCTCCTCTCCCACATCCCTTATTTCCATGATTGGGTTATTTGTAGTCAGACCTCAATCAAATGTCATTTCTTTGTGTATCCCATCTGGAACAATTCTCAGCCAGTCATTTGCTGTTACGTTACCCTATTTTACTGTGTTTACAGCAGGCATCACTCACTGAAATCATTTTGTTTTTTGTTGACTTATTTAGAGTCTGATTGCTCCTACTGGAATGTAAGCACTATGAGAGCAGGAGTTTTTTTTTCTGCTTAATTGGTCATTACATCCCCACTGCTTAGAATAGGACCAGGCTCATAGCCAGGGTTCAGTAAATGCCTGTCCAATGAGTGAATGAATGAAGGATGCATGAAGTCAGACACAATTGAACAAAGACTGCCAAGACTTATATACAGCCCAAAACATCTGTAATTAAATGTTGGTTACTAACCTGAGAATGAGGAGTCTGATCTGGTTTATGTGTACATTTCTAAGCTTTTTTATTGTGTTTTAAGAAACTAATATAAGGGCTTAATAAATATTAGATTTAGTCCTTTGAAGATTAGGTTATATAGGGTCAGAAGGTAAGGCAAGCTTTGGAGTGACAGGTCCTACCCACAGGAAAGCCAAGAGATCCTCATTTGAGTTAAAAGTTATTGAATTTAAGAAATGAAAATAAAAAGTAAATCTTGAGTTCATATGAAGGGAAAACAAAAATCAGCAAATATATCAAGTTTAAATAGTTATTTTTTTTAACTTAATAGTTTTATAACTCAGCCAAAAACCAAGTTTTTTTTTAATTCTCTTGGGCAAATTCTCGCTGACGCATTAAAGTGGAATTCATTTACAGATGAGGCAGGGTCTGGCATGCATGGATGGGGGCTTTGACTTAGTGGATAGGAGCTGTTGCTAGGGCAGGATTAGAACATGACCTTCCTTGATTATAGTTGAGACCAAAAGCTAATAGCTGGAGTGCGGGGCAGCTATGGCCCACAGGACAGTGGCCTGATCTTTCTGGGCTTCAGTCTCCTCACTGGGAAGTGAGGAGGTTGAAATGAGTAATGGGATTAAAACCAATACCCCATTGCTGTATTCTTGTCTTTATTTCTTAGGTCTGGTACCTTACACTGAATCCATGAATACACTATGACCATCAGAAGCTATTTGTTAATACACTTTATATTTTGAAGGGACTTGCAACCTGGATAAAATTGAGGCCATCCCCTCTTTTCACCATCTCCCATACCACACTCACAACACTAGCTCTTTAGCAGCCTCTTTTATTTCTGTCATGTTTATCTAAGATTCTTTTCTTCCCTTGGCCAATGTTACTGCATGTGTGCTTGGGAGAGACTATTTAGTCCGCAGGCCATGCCTGGGAGCCTGGGACTCCTGCAAATGCCTGTGAGGCCCCTGAGATACCATTTCATGAACACAAGTCCACCCTGTTGCCTCAGTGACTTTCCTGAAGTGCTTGAGTGTGGTCAGCCAGTGGATTCAGAAACATGATACTTTGAGGACAACAAGCTAGGTTTTGACTTTTCTGCTTCCTAAGGTAATATTTAACCTGCAGGAAGAAGCGGCTTCAGCTCAAGAGTCCGTGACAGGCATTTAAAAAAAAAAAAGTAAGCAGTATGACTCTTGCTAAATGTTAACAAGTTAAACCACATTGCTTTCAATTATGTATGTATGTATTTACTTATTTATTTTGAGAGAGAGGGAGAGAGAGCAGGGGAAGGGCAGAGAGAGAGGGAGAGAGAATCCCAAGCAGGCTTCATGCTGCCAGCACAGAGCCTGATGTGGGGCTTGAACTCACCAACCATGAGACCATGACCTGAAGCAAAATCAAGAGTTGGATGTTTAACCAACTGAGCCACCCAAGCTCCCCTCAATTGTATGTTTTTAAAATTTTTACCATATAGACATACAACTTTTTAATATATTATGTATCAGCATTATTGCCCTTCCTATATTCAATGCTCATAGTACATTATTCACATCTTATAGATGTTGGAGGATAATCGATTTGACATTATAAAACTGGATAGTTCACAAGCTTGCCTCTTTGAAATATGGATATTCGTAAGAGATATATCAAGGCCTTGTTGAGAAAGAAGCTGTGTATTTTACCTTTCCTTTTTTCTCCCTCCATTTAATGTTCTTTTTCAGTTAAAATAGTATAGTTTTGTAAGAAAATACAAAAAAGCACAAAGAAGAATATTTTAAAAAATTGCTCTTAACTGCACCATCAGAAAATAACCTCATATGAACTTCAGTGATCATACTGTACATACTATTTTATAAGCTGACTTTTCTTTATAAAAAATATGAATAACGTTTTCATTTAATGAAATGTTCTTCTAAACATGATTTTTAATAACTGCATGATATTTCATCCTGTAGCTGTCTATAACAGACTTCTATTGTGGGAGGCAGTACAGATAGGTAAGAGAACAGGGTGTGAAGCAGACGTCCTATTTCTGACTAGCTGTGACCATCGCTGAGTTATGGTTCATCCCATTCCTCAGTCTCCTTACCCACAAAATGAGGATAAAAATAGGACCAGCATTATACCGTTTCCTGTGAAAATTAAGTAGGTTATGACACATGGTACTTAAAACACTTAGAGCACTTACAGTAATGCTCTAAATAGATACTCTTACTGAAGTATTATTACTCTATTTTTATCTATAATTCTATTATTCTAATGGAATAATTGCCTGGCACATGGTAAGTACTCAATAAATATTCATTATTATTACCTATATTGCTTTCAGCTTTTTGATCTAATAATACTGTGAATATCTTTGAAGAAAAAAAGGCTTTTGCTTTCTCTTCTTACTTCCCTAAGATAAACTTTTATTTTTTTTTTTTAAATTTTTTTTTTCAACATTTATTTATTTTTGCGACAGAGAGAGGCAGAGCATGAACGGGGGAGGGGCAGAGAGAGAGGGAGACACAGAATCGGAAACAGGCTCCAGGCTCTGAGCCATCAGCCCAGAGCCCGACGCAGGGCTCGAACTCCCGGTCCGCGAGATCGTGACCTGGCTGAAGTCGGACGCTTAACCGACTGCGCCACCCAGGCGCCCCATGAGATAAACTTTTAGAAGTAGAATTCTGTCTTTGCGACTTATTGCTAAATCACCCTCTGTAGAGGTTGTGCTAGCATGCACTGTCTATAGTGCTGTAAGAGAGAAAGCCACCCACTCCACAGCGAGTGAAGTTGTTTCCAGAAGTGCTTCATGGTGGAAATGGCAACTTCCCATGAGGATCTTTGTAGTTCTCCAGAATCATTCACTATTGAATAATTGGGATTTATTCAGCTTCCTCTTCCTTTTCAGTGTTTATATAGTCTTCAGACAAAGATGAACAATTTAAAAACATTAAAGTTTAAAAACATTAATTTTTGTGTGCTTAGTATATTAGTCTGAAGTTTGCTTAAGAAAATATTTGTATTGATATGAAAATTTAACTTGTCTACATTGTTAGGATGGTTTACCCCAGTGAAACTAAAATATATACTTTCTTATTTTTAAGAAAAAAGCAACAAGCCTTGGGAGCAGTCAGCCTTCCAGAACCCATGCTGGTGGAACAGCCCCGGCCACCAAGGTCAGTCATTTCCTGAGCATGAAAAGACTCCTGCTCTACAACAGGTCTATCATTAGTGGGTGGAGTCTGTAGAGAAGGCAAATAGTACTTGTATATCATGGTAAGTTTTGAACAAAGTATCCTTTCTATGCTGGGGGTGGGGAGGAGAATGTAATTTCTTAGTAATGGTTTGAACAATTTAAAACCTAGTAAAATCATTGATTCTACAATTTTTCTTGGCATATAATAAGTGTTCAGTAAATATTCTTATCATAATATCTATAGATAATATTGGACTTTTACACATAATGTAAGTATAAATACAGCACTTTCACTTCTTCAGAAAATAATTCAGATTGTCTTGATGAGCATTAGCCACACTAGGCTCTCTGCTAAATGCTCTGTGTAAATACCTCATGTATTCTTTTATTAATGTTGTAATTATTATTCCTTTATACCTGAGGGAGTCAGGGCCCAGAGAGGTTAAGCATCCTTGATAAGATTGCAAAGCCAGTAGGATAGAACAAGGGTTCAAACCCAGGCTTCCTGTTCAGACAAGGTCCTCGACACCACTGGACGTCAGAAGCTCTAATGGAGCATTCTTTGGTAATATAGCACTTGAGAGCTTTGCAACTTATAAAAATCACTGAAACAACACATTTCAAGACAAAAAACTACAATTTTAGTTAGTAGTTTTCAACATTTAAATAGTTTTGTTCAGCCCATTTCAACTTGTGATCTTCCAGTATGTCTGAGATCATCAAAAACATTATTTCAGGGCTATCTATACAACTACTTATTTTTTTAAAAAATTATTTTGAATGTTTATTTTTGAGAGACAGAGAGGGGACACAGAATCAGAAGTAGGCTCCAGGCTCTGAACTGTCAGCACAGAGCCCGATGGCAGGGCTTGAACCCACAAACTGCGAGATCATGACCTAGGCTGAAGTTGGACGCTTAACCAACTGAGCCACCCAGCCGCCACTATTTATTTATTTTTAAATGTTTATATATTTATTTTGAGAGGGAGGGGCAGTGGGAGAGGGAGAGGGAGAAACCCAAGCAGGCTCCATGCTCAGGATGGAGCCTCACACAGGGCTCCATCCCACGACCATGGGATCATGACCTAAAGCCTAAATCAAAAGTCAGACACTCAACCTCCTGAGCCACCCAGGTGCCCCTACACAACTATTTTAAATAAGCATTTTTCCTTTAAAACTAGTCTCTTTTCTATGGAGGTCTGCATACTTTCTCATATAGGTTACTTGGCTTGGTTAAGAGTTAATGTTTTAAATGCTTTTTGGAGCCCCAGCTGCTCTCCAGGCCCTTAAAAGGTGCCCAAAACAAAATCCAGCTGAGAAATGAGAAGAAGCTGGCCACAGAGTTGAACAGATTCAGGAGCACAGCCTCAGTGCTAACTATGGGTAAGAGGACTTCTGCACAGCAAAACAAACCCAAGTTGCCTCTTTGCCACTTACTCTTAGCAAGTTTACCTATCTCCAGTGAGCTTCAGTTTCTTCATGTATAAAATGGGGATAGGACTTCTTTGGACAGATCTGCCAAGAGGCTTCAATGTAATAAAATATTTAAAACACATAGCCCTCAGCCTGGCATTTCGTAGGTACTGGGGAAAATGTATGTCAGCTGTGACTACTCCTGTTAGCCTCACACTCTTGTTTGAATGTCTAAAACTAAAAAAGATGTGCCACTGGCACCTGGGAAGCTGGGTACGTTAAGCGTCTGACTCTCGATTTTGGCTCAAGTCACCTTGTTTGGCTGCGAGTTGTGAGTGTGCAGATTGTCCCTCTCTCTCTGTTTGGGATTCTCTCTCCCTCGGTCTCTGCCCCTCCCCTGCTTGCTCTCACTCTCTCTCTCAAAATAAACAAACACTTAAATATATATATATATTAAAATATATATATATATATTAAAAAAAATATATATATATAAAGATATTTATATATATATAAAGATTTGCCATATATGTCCTGTCTTTTATAGAATTGCAACCTTTATTTAACTTCTGCTTAAATTATGCCTCCACACATGAGAAGCCTCGGTAGAAAACCCCACCCCTATGAGATTTGGTGGATCAAGTGGAGATGGTTTCTAAAATTTGGGATTATCTAAACTCTTGGTGGGGAGGTGTTTAGTAGACTGTGGAAATGCACACCTAGTCACTCATTCAGAATTCTGTAAAGAATTTTGGCATCTTCCCCAAACCCTGCTGTGTCTCCGAAAGTTGAGGGAGGGAGTGTAGCTGGGAGGTGGAGGCATTTTAGCCACATATTTAGTGTTTATTTAATGTCAAACTTGACATTCTTTCCTTAGCTTCTAAGACATTGTCCTCTTTGTCCTCTCTCCTGTTGCACTTTCCTGACTTGCTT